GCCACATGCAGCTCGCGAGCTGCAGGTTGCCGACCCCTGTCCTAGCCACATCAACCCGCAAACACCACTCGTACCAGGGGCGGAACTACCATACCGCCAGACCCCGCAGTGCGGGGGGGGGGGGGGGGGCCAGGACGTTTAGGGACGTTTAGGGAATTAAGCTTACGTCTTTATATATTTTTGACCAGTTAAAAATGAAAGAAAGAAGAACAAAAAAAATGGGTCTAGTTTGTTCTCTCAGAATGGTTATATATTGCAATGAAGTAGACTAAATTACTCTGTTTAGATACAGATTATATATATATATATATATATATATATATATATATATATATATATATATATATATATATATATATATATATATATATATATATATATATATATATATATATATATATATATATATATATATGTTACGGTCAAAGCCCGAAGTACGGCCAAACCCCGGATTGGCCGGCCAATGCGCGGATTGGCCGGCTCTCTTGGCCAAAGCCCGAAGAACTTAGAACTAAGATCGTATTTCGTACATTGGCCGGCCAATGCGCGCACTGGCCGGGACGTACTGGCCAAAGTCCGAAGTGCTTCAACTTGACAGCGTATTTTGTACATTGGCCGGTCAATGCGCGTATTGGCCGGGATGTCCTGGCCAATGTTGTATCTAGACTTAGTAGTGATTGCGTTTTCATTATTCTGGGTGCGGTTTCATTGTGAGTAACGTATTGTTTAGCTCTTGTTTGTATATTATTCTATATGCAAGGCGACATGGATGAAAGTACCGTCAGACCATGAGACTGACATAGCAGATGGCTGTCAAAAGAAAAAAATTTAAATCCATGTTAGTTTCCATGGGCTACAACCGTATGTGACAGCCTCCTCCATGATGACGAGGTGAGACAATCATCAAAGAACAAAATCAAAGACAGTCGGCGTCACCGACCACGTGCAACAAGACGGAACGTTCAAAAGACTTTGCCGCGTACCTTGTAAGTTGAACAATAGTGTCCAAGCGACTTGAGATGGCGTGGGCGTCAGAAACCATATTTCCCCAACAAGAAATGGAGGTTGCCATAAATGCAACTACATCCTCAGCTAACATATCTGCTGCCGTGGCGGAACGTCCAGACCAGTTGCGTGACAATAATGTGGCCAACAGATTCTGTATAGTTTGTGAAAAACATTGTAGTGCAGCTCATTCTTTTGGATCCTGTGGCAAAGATGTCCATGCTATATGTAGAGTACCCAATGAAACAGACGAAGGGTACGAAGGGAACATTACCTGCAAATTGTGTCACAACAAACAAGACATCATGGAACACAGGTCAGCAGCTCATACTGGCTTGCAAAATCAAGGTGCTAAGATGCTTAAAACATCAAATACAAAATTTAAAGATGGTGAAGTGGGTGACAATGTACGCATCCGTGTTCCAGATATTGACAGAGGTCGCGGTGATCCCCGAAGCGTGATTGCAGTTGTCATGAGCGTCGAGGGCGGTTTCTACAAATTAGGAACGGAACATGGTGTTCTAAAACAACTGTATACTAGAAGTGAGTTTTCAATTCTTCACGAAAAACTGCTCTAATTGTCGTCAGTTGGCACTGAGGAAAAATCACTACGAACCATCGCATCTTCACAATCATTGACTGGGGGCCAATGCTACACTCGCTGCAATTGCACAACCAAGTGCACAACAAATCGCTGCAAGTGTAAAAATAACAAGCTGCTATGTAATTCTAAATGCCATAAAAGTTCAACTTGTTGTAACAAATTATAATAATGATTGATTGAGACTATAGTACAATAAAAAATTTAAATGTTTCTGTCATTTACTTTAATTAATAATCAATAAAGACTTAATTTCATGATCCTACCGGCATAAAAAAAAAAAAAAATCTGCTCATGATCTTCTAATTAAGACTTTGGCCGGTCCATCATGGCCAGTCCGCGGACTGGACGGGACTGGCCGGCCAAAGGCCGAAATCAAGAGCTATTTCAGACTTTGGCCGGTCCACAATGGCCAGTCTGCGGATTGGCCGGCCAAAGGCCGAAATGAAGCAACGTTTCGGACTTTGACCGACCTATGGGAGGCGATATTGGCCAATGCGCGGATAGGCCGGCCAATCCTAGCATTGGCCGACTTCGGGCTTTGACCGTAACATATATATATATATATATATATATATATATATATATATATATATATATATATATATATATATATATATATATATATATATATATATATATATATATATATTAGTTTCGTCACTGGCAACTTGATAGTGGTTTTGAAAGTAACAAACAGAATACAGATCTAATACAGTAGTGATGTTATATAGTAGCTAAGACATGCTGTTGCGTAAAAAAATAAAAAAATAATAAACACAGCTGTAGTGTGAAAGATAGGCAAACGTTCAAACCATTTCCATAAATTATTTCCCTTTTTCAAATAGTCAAATAGGGGTGCTCAAAAGCTCTTTTTAATAGATTTTTAATAATCAAATTAAAAAGCAATTACTTATCTTAATTATTATTTTAAAAAAAATAAGTACTAAAGAATGGTATAGTATAAAAATGAAACGTAGTTAAAGTTAATAATATAAATACAAAAAAATAACATAAAAATAAACATAACACGAGACACCATTACTTATACAAAGCTTCATATACTTTTAACCGACTTAATGATTAGAAGTATTATTGGTAATCATAAATGAAAACAGAGATTTTCAAAACAGACCAATGCACTCATACACATGACATGCTGTTGTGATTAGATTTAATTGAATTTTTTTTTCAAAACCCGATCAGGCTAGAAAGGAGTATCCTATATTCGTATTGTGTTTGTGTGTGTGTATGTATATATATATATATACATACATATATACATATATATATAAATATAAATATATATATATATATATATATATATATATATATATATATATATATATATATATATATATATATATATATATATATATATATATATATATATATATATATATATATATATATATATATATATATATATATATATGGGGGGCCCAAAAAATTTTTTTGCGGGGTAGCCCATTTTTTCTAGTTCCGCCACTGACTCGTACATCACTGTATTATCCAAACGGCTGCATCTATGATGTTTTTTTTATGCTGATATAGCAACCAAAACCGTAACTCATAAACCCCTCTAAAATTTAATTTTACATATCAAACAATATAACATTTTTAAAAATGGCGCAACGCTCTAACTGGTGTCTGCCGAGATCTCTGTATCTGTCAATGATCGGATCACTGAGTAACAAATAGATATACCCGCACTTCCTGTATGGATCAGCCAACTAACTCAATGATAATTGCTCCGTCTCTAAGCAGTTTGAATCTATAAATAGAATAACAAAAGGAAGAAAACGAAATTTTAACCTGATTTCCGCCATTAAAAAAAGTAACATGAAACCTACAGTTCACGACACATCGCATAGGAATTTAAAATAAATATTAGGCCTATAGGTTTAATACATATTGCATAGAATATAGAAATTTAGATCTAGTGTTCTGGTTAGTAGTTATTTCATGTTTATTAGATTATAGTCTAGAATCTAATCATACGGCTGCATAAAAAGAAAGTTTGAAGGAAATAGAATAGGAATCTAGTTCTAGAGAAGCGGAGGTAAGAAGGTTAAATTAGTAATTTACATGATTTTTATTGTAGTTTCACTGTTTGTTAGGCCCAATTATTAAATCTTTAGATCAGAGGTCCAGCTTGATCATGTGGGGTATCTATTGTGGTGCATTGGAATGAAAAGCCCACATACTTAAATATAGAATCTAGTAGGCCTATACTATAACTGTACTGCCCTATACTTTAAATTTGTTGCCACAAGAAAAAAGCCTATTTACTATTAGGCCTATTAGTTATAATTTAATTAAATTGAAATATTTGAGTATCTTTATAGTTTATAGTGAATGCATGCTAATGAGCATTATTCAAGCTGCTGTTATATTTAGGCTCATAGGCCTATATACTCTATAGCTCAGGCTATATACTATAGACTATATATTATATACCAATATTGTGCATAAAACTTAAAGCATGTAAGCATACACAATGATAATTATCATTAGACCTATAGTAACTAAGACTCGTACTATTTAGTACTACTTTAATAGTACCTTTAAACTATTAGGCATAATGAAATAATGATTAATGATTTCAGTGTTTTCCGCACTTGAGAGGAAAGAGGTTGCAGGGAACTTAGAGACTAATCTTTGCCAACATACTGGATTTCTGGTGATGACAATAGCAGCAGATAGTATGCGGCTCAGTTAATACTAAAAACAATTGATTTTACTAATTAGTGGTAAGCTCTTTTTTAAAATAATATATTATAACATGGTATCGCAAAGGTTCAGGTTGTCCAATAAATGGTAATTAGAGTCAGGTTTAGGACTATAGTTTAATGCTTGGTTAGTAATATGCATCAAGTTGGGAAAGACATAGAAATGGAAATACATAGAATTTAATGTGTTCATTCGCAAACGTTACTATTTAAATTTTTTTAGGCCTGCTATTTATTGCTGAATAATAAAATCACTATACTTATCCACTATATTATGTTTAAATAAAGTGAGTTTAGATCAGTCGAGTAAATAAATTTAATAGCAAGACATAGCTAAAATTTACAATGAATATATATATACATATATATTATATATATATATATATATATATATATATATATATATATATATATATATATATATATATATATATATATATATATATATATATATATATATATATATATATATATATAATTTGATTGCTATTTTATAAAAGTATGTAAATCACAGACCAAACATTACTTTGTATTGTGTCTACAACTTAACAAAAATGCTACTACTTTGATGGATTGCACTAAATAGGGGTTAGCTTTAATTTAATAATTTGTGAAATATTCTTGCTAATCTATGTGTAAATTGCTTTTCAGGACTATGAGTGTGTGTTTAGCCATCCTGATTTCATAACTACAACTGATGTTCAATTACAAGGGATATTAATCAGTCTCCGTGGACTATACACTGTGCCTAGTTTCATCCTCAGGTAACTGTACTATAGGCATAACCCATTTTTTAAAGTAATTATTATAGCAAGAGATAGCATTGTATGTTATAATAAATATAATGGATTTTAATCCAAAATATTTTATTAATTATTGTCTTTTTTTTAATTCTAATAAATCAGTGAGTTGTACAACATAGAGGGTATTATATTTGAATGATAATTGAAACACATATTGTTATAGAGCTCAAAACTATGTACTTATCTAATATAATTAATATAGTGAAACAGTTTTATTGAAGCATATTATTTCATATTTTACCACACAGAGACTGATGTGTAAGCTTAAAGTAAAGACATCAAATCAAAGTATCAGCCATCAAGAGGGTAAATATTGATAGTCTACTTCATTAATCTTCAATATGAATGAACACAATTTTAAATCTATAATCTTTGCTGATAATGTTTGTTTCTTGTTATTCATCATGTTCAGTGCTTTATCTTTTCAAAGTAATTAGTTATAGTAAAGAAATATTAGAGATAGTAATATAAATTTGTAATTTATTTTTCTTGCAAGTTCCACAAAAGAAAGTATCAAAATATTTTGCCTTTATTTCATTTACAGAAAAACATTCAAAATCATATTGTGATACACAAGTCAAGCAAGTCTGACCAGCATTTTGATACAGGCCAAGAAAAAGCTGGATACTTGATTGGAAGGGTTGCACAAAAAACATGGGTTATCACTAGGGAAACAAGCTCGCAATACAGTTCACTGTTAGGACAGCAAGCCAAATACTTCTAAACTTATTTGAATCATTTTTGCTCTTTATTATAATTCATCAAATTGTCTTATTAAATATATAAATTTATATATATACACAATTCCTAATATAGAATTTCTAAAAATGTTTTATTATAATATTTAAAAATGAAACAAACATGTTCCCAGAACACAGCCACATAATGTCAACATGTTCCCAGAACACACAAAATGGCAACATGTTCCCAGAACACACAAAATGGCAACATGTTCCCAGAACACAGCCAAATAATGTCAACATGTTCCATGAACTCACAAAATGGCAACATGTTCCCTGAACACACACAATGGCAACATGTTCCCAGAACACAGCCAAATAATGTCAACATCTTCCATGAACTCACAAAATGGCAACATGTTCCCAGAACACACAAAATGTCATTATGTGCCCAGAACACACAAAATGGCAACATGTTCCCAGAACACACAAAATGGCAACATGTGCCGAGAACACAAAAAATGACAACATGTGCCGAGAACAATGCCCCTTACAGATGACATGTTCCCAGAACACAGCCCGTAGTTGGTCTGCCATAAAAAGTTAACAATACTTTACTTTTTCCTTAACAATATTACAAGCAGGTAGTAAAGCCATAAATCTTTACTGTGGATATAGCCAATAAATAGGGTAACCTTCACTATATGCAATTTGTAGTTTTCAATGCCTGTCCCATGCATATTATTTAGCCTATGGTTTTGGGCCTTGCTTCATTTACTCAATAAATTATATAGGCATGAGAATTTTCATTTAAATCTGCAAAAGCTACATTCTGTACATTATTATTTTCAAACTACATCATATATTTTTCTCTTCTCTGATAAAAAATATTCCTCATATTGTTTGTGTCAAGTATTTTATTTTTATCTATGCAATGCTATATTCTTATTTTATAATAATTACTTTTATACAAATTCTTTTGAATACTGTTCTTTATTGATTTGTATCATTTTCTTTATTTCTGAAAAATAAAACTTTGTTTGGGAATCCTTTTTTTGTTTCTGTACAAATTAATAAACATAAATACCTACCAGGCTTAATATCCAGCAACATTAAACAATTAAGTAGGGCCTATTGATAGTAATGGTAAATTATATACTAATTAATGTGATTTCTCCTGGCCACCTTGTTCTGAATACCTTCAACTGTGTCAACGTTGCTACCAACTCCAATAATTAAAACTGAAGCCATTTACTATGAAGTAAAACTTGGGTGTAATCCAAATCCACCCAGTTGCCGGGGGCAAGGTACCAAACATGATGTCCAGTAGAGGGTTAAGAAAGTATCATTATTAAATCACTATTAAACCCCTCCTCGCCTACGCCATTGCTTGTATGCATATGGACGTTATCGGAATTTACTGTATTGCTTATAAGTCGAAAATGCGAAAAAGACACGTTTAACATTACTAGTTTGAAGAATAACATTCATGTTAGCCGAAACAGGCGTATTCTAAAGTTGTTTAAATTCATTTTATTGTTCATTACGATTATGATGTCGTAAAATATAGGCCTATTTAAAAAAAAGCATAACTAAAAAGTGTTTAAACGCATTTTCTTCTTAGAAAAGCCGCACATGCATGATATCATTAACATTACGGCAAATCATACCCTTGAAGAAGCCCCATCAACCATTCAATTATTACGATGGGCAACAAATAAAACGCCCGCATCAAGGTACTGTCCTTATGCTATCGACATTAGCTCAACCCCGGCAACTAACGTGTCACAAAACTAAGAATTGAAATCTTGACCCATTATTCTGATTAATTAGTGGTTAAACATCTTTAGGCATCTGAAAACGTTAGTTTTTAATCTAGTGTACTCAAAAAGGAACAACATAAAGCTTTATGCCGCTTTAAAAACCCAATCCCATGTTACGCAAGGCGTCGATAGAGAAAGAATAGGGCTTTGAGTCAGAACAGGCAAGGGCTTAGATAACTGCCAAAATACCTAATCTGTAGACCTCACAAGTCTAGACGATATATTTGTGCCTCTGTTTTTAGACTTTCAGAACAAATGCATGTGATGTGGTCCGTAGGCACATAAAAGAGAAAAGTAGTTTTAATCTAGAGACTTCAAACATTTCTGAAGGACCGAATTTGAACTTGTAGGCCGTGGTGTCGATGCCAAAGTTTAGCGTCGTCCGCAAAGATAAGCTATCGTTATATCATCTCTATGCCCATATTGTGACAGATATTTACAAATGTGTCTAATATAGGACAGAATACATAGCTACTCAACAGAGATAAGCGCAATCACTTGTCCACGACTTAAGAAACCACTGTACTGCAAAACCCACCTAAATGGAAAATGTCTTAGATGTGTGTTTTAATACAAATGTGTACCTCGTCGCGAGTTAGGACCTGTAGGTAGTCTGTTACTACTCTATATCTAAAAACAATAAAAAGATAACGTGAATTTTATTTGTTCAATTTCTTGGTTAATTGTATTTGTTGCATCTTGTTCAATTTTGTTAATATTGATTAACCTAAAGGGTTCAAATGTAACAAAGAAAATTGTGACTAAGTTTCCGGGTGCGAGTATGTGGACACTAGTTAAAGTAGGCCCTATATATCTATTTATATGTATAGAAATGAAAGTATGTTTATCTGTTTGTCCTATATGAATTACTACATCTTTTTCATCGGATCGCCATAAAACTTTGTGAACAGAGTTTTTTCCAGGAATCTATTCGGAGGGGGGGGGGGGACGCAGAGCCCCCCCACCCCCCGAAGAAAGTCTATCGACCCCCCCCCACCCCCGAACGAAACGGAATTTATATAGAAAAAAATACTTTTAACAGTGTTCGCACGCCCCCCCCCCCCCCGGAAAGATTTCGCCAGGGCGGCACCCTAGCAGGAAGCAGAAGCGTAGCAACCTATTCCGGCGCCCGGGGCGAACTATCAATTATGTGCCAACCCTATTCAAACGCTGGCAAAAAGGCGCCCATCCCTACATACACTCCCCTATATAAAATAATTGAGGATATCAGCCATGTATAAATCTGTTTTCTTAAATTTTACTGAAGAATGAGGATTTTTTAAAAAATTGTCTACCCCTTTTGGCGCCCCATTCGATCTGGGGTCTCTGACAGGAAGCAATGCAATTTTTCTCCATAAAAATAAAAGCCAGATGCAATTTGACACTGTTCGTACGAGAGTCATAAAATTTTGGGTAGTTGGTGAAAAGGGTTTCGAGAAAGAAAAAAATTCTTAAGTGTGGTACCCTGGGAGGGTTCGATTTTTCTAATTATACGATTATGAGCTCAGAATCTAGAGGGGAATCCAGAGGGGCTATCTCATCAATTGCGGTCATAGGTAATACTAGATTCAGCAGAGGCACAGCGAGGGGGGCGGGGGGTACATATGTCCCCGGGCGCCAACCCTAGGGGCGCCAAAATGGTTGAAAAAAATTAAAAGCTCATTTTAGCTATAGTTTTGCATTATAAATATTTAAAAAATACGGGGGGGGGGGGCGCCAAATTGAAAGTTTGTCTCCGGCGGGGGGGGGGGGGGGGGGCGCCAAATTGAAAATTTGTCCCCAGGCGCCAGGAATGGTGCTACGCCTCTGAGATTCAGTGATAAAACTACACCAGGTTCATCCGCCAGCTCCCCGGCGGTTGAGTGGCCCAGAGCGGCCAAGACCCACCTCGGGCGACACTACGGTTTAGATGGGCTACTATAAATGTTCACTAAGTAGAATAATGAGCGCCCGCCGGCGCCCTGGCAGATGGCGACAGCGAGCGCCCCGGGCTCTACAGAGAGTGCCTCCTTAAAGAGCACCCTACAATAGGGACACGGTGGCACACGACATTTTATAATTAAACCGAATTAGGGGCGCCCCTGCGGAAATATAACCAGTGGCTCCCTGGAGCGCCAAGGGACGCGTCTCTAACACATGGGCGGTCGCCAATGTGTGTTCTACCTCACTATTACAGAGGTTGATTAACGTACACTCAAGGCTTTCATACAGTGAGCCTTGGTGCGTCTAGGCGGCAGTGTGGTCAAATCCGCGCCCCAAAAACGAATATGTGGGTTTGTTTGTTTAAGCATTATCAAAGATTTCATTCGTTTGTCATTCAAATTTGAGAAGTTAATGCTAATACCCCTGTGGTGGTTTCTACGAAAAAAAATTCGATTTGGTGGCGCCCTGGCAGGGTTCCATTTAGCTCCCCGGGTTTTTTCCGTGAGTACTATGGTACCTTTGTTCGTTTTAATAATTGCGAAACGCTATGAATATGATGGGCTACTATAATCGCTCACTATACCGAGTGAGGCACCTTCCTACCTACGCCCACCTACCTACATACCTAACTCCCTGCCTACGTACCTACCTATCTACTAACCTGCCTGCGCTGCTGCCTGCCTACCTACTTTCCTACCTACCGTTATTCCTGCCAAACTGCTTTCCTTCCACCCCGCCTGTCTACACACCTCACACCCTACTTACACACACACATATCTTCGTATGTATGTGTTAGTGTGCTCTAGGACTATGTATTTTTACATTTTTGTTGTTACGTAGAACTATTCAGTATAAAGGAGTTTCCTTTTTTTTTTTTTGACGTTGTAACTGCCGCTAAAATATTCTTTTTTGTATGTGTGCATAAAATAGTGTAGGGTTATTAACAAAAGTAAATTTTAGTATGTATTTAAGTGTATATAATCATTTTCGTCAAGCCAATGTGTTCATAATCTTAAATTTAAAAACCCATGAAACTCGATAGCCAAAGATTTAGAATGAGAATAATTGCTATTTAACCAGTAACACCTATTCTAATTATTGTAATAATATTTTTTTTTAAATAAATATACACAGAAATAGATTGTTTTCTTATATAATTTTTTTAAAAAGTCAACTGTATTTCATAACGAAAATTAACACAAAATACATTCGAATAGAAACTGTCAAGGGAGACTACTCTAATATTTGTAGGAATAATATTTTTTATTTAGAGTTTTTTTTTATTATTAGAAGAAAAGTTAATCATGTAGGTTCTATAAAAGATTACCTTGCATTTAAAAAAATATATATTCGATAGGTTTAGAATGAGAAATAGTCAAAATTATTTATTATATTCATTAGTTGTTTTTTTTTTAATAATATAGTACAAAGACCTGTTTTATTTATTTTTTAAAAATCTTATTTTAATTAATAAATTATAAATGAAGATCGAGGATCTATATTTTTAAAAAAATAGTTTAACTGTCCCTAAACAATTGTATCAATCGCTGAGAAATTAAGAATTAATAATTACGTTTAACGCTTTATTAATTAAACGAGTTGAATTATTTCCGTTTTGAAAAACTCTCTCTCTCTCTTTATAACTACTAACGCTTTATCATTGAGTTTCTTAAGAGAAAAATACAGGAGAGCGGTAGTTATCATTGACTCTGTCATTGATAATTTCATTGAGTCTTTCATAGAAAATAGTGTTTGATCGGCTGCTCTCTCTCTCTCTCTCTCTCTCTCTCTCTCTCTCTCCAGCCGATCAAACACTATTTTCCATGAAAGACTTAATGAAATTATCAATGACAGAGTCAATGATAACTACCGCTCTCCTGTATTTTTCTCTTAAGAAACTCAATGATCAAGCGTTAGTAGTTATAAAGAGAGAGAGAGTTTATCAAAACGGAAATAATTCAACTCGTTTAATTAATAAAGCGTTAAAAGTAATTATTAATCCTTAATTTCTCAGCGATTGATACAATTGTTTAGGGACAGTTAAACTATTTTTTAAAAAATATAGATCCTCGATCTTCATTTATAATTTATTAATTAAAATAAGATTTTTAAAAAATAATTAAAACGGGTCTTTGTACTATATTATTAAAAAAAACAACTAATGAATATAATAAATAATTTTGACTATTTCTCATTCTAAACCTATCGAATATCTTTTTTTTTAAATGC